TGCCATTGAACAAGCCAAAAAAAATTGGTGAGGGGGAGACTTTGAGAAAGAATTGGATTTAATGCAAGTAAAGTGGATCTACCAATTAGACACACTTGACCCAAAGGGTTTAAATGTAGATTTCGTATTAAGTTCTTTTCAGTATGTTTTTTCTGTAACCCTATATTTGTGACTCTCTTATTCTTTTATTTGTTTTTTAACCCATTGTTCAATTAGTATTTACCCATTTTTACTGGGATTTTTGCATAAGGTTTCACATACTCCTTTTATATGGTTTATACATTTTTATTTTTGTGTATCTTTTGCTTCCATCATACGTAGTTTTTATTACATATATTTTTTTGTTACCTTCCTAAAGCTCTTTTATTAATTTTATTTGATTGTAATGTATTTTATCTCTTTTTTTTTTTCTTATCATGTGCCATTGGCCCAAACTGAGATATATTTTACATTTTTTTAATTTTCTTGAGATGATTTTTAGTAGATTTTATAGTAGGGATTTTTTAATGTCTTTTTTTAAGGGTATTTTCTTTAAGAGTGTGTACAACATGCGCAAATTTGAGTTAATTACTTTCATAGTAGTCTGTCTTTATCTGTTTTTTTTTTTTTTATAATTTGCTGTCTATAGCTGTTTTTTACAATTTGCTAACAGCTACACCTTTACATAATTGTCTGGTAGCTGTGCAATTATGTTTTGTTTGTTTGTTTTTTGCAACAATTGTCTCTTTAACAATATTCAAGTTACTGCCCCCTTAATTAACTGTTTAGGAACTGGGGGCTTATAAGTCTCACTCAGGCAAGGTCTGCCACTACCTCTGGTAAAGTGTCCAGTAGGGCCACGAAACGCGTAAGGCGGGAATTCCTATCACGCTATGCAGATTGGGTGATTTGACTTCAGTATCATCGGGACATGTTTTACTTTTAGATAACACAGTTGCAGGAGATGAAGCAGGGTGGGTTACCAAGGTGTGGGGAGAGAAAGCTATGAACAGTTTTATTGAAATGCATTCCTAAAGAAATTAGTTTTCAATGACGTTTTAAAGGAATGGATCAGGGAAATGAGTTCCATAGGAATGGTTCAGCCCTAAAGAAGTTATGAATTTGGCCTTAGAGGTGTGATTAGAAACAGAGGATAGATGCAGGTCTTCGGCAGAGCATACGGGCCTGGATGGGACATACTTGTATATTAGTGAGGGTAGGTAGATACAAGCAGTGTTATGTAGAGATTTATAAACAAGTACCAGAATTTTAGATTGAACTCTATATCTTACAGGAAGCCAGTGTAAGGACTGACAGAGGAGTGAGGAGTGGGAGGTGTGTGCGGACAGAAAGACGAGCCTCACCACAGCATTCATTATAGACTGTAGCATTGTAAGACAGAATATTGAAGCCATTAGCAACGGCAGATGTTTATGAGACTTACATATTTTCTACTAATCATTTTTTATGACTAATACATGATAATTATAGTGTAATTAATCTTGTTTTAATTTAGTAACTCCAATTTTATATAATAGGAAGTTTATACATTCAGTAGCAGTTACATTATTAAAATGCAAACTCTTTTATAAAATACTGGCAGCATCGTATAACCTGAATTTCTAGAACATGTCACAGAACGTCACTGAATAGAAAGTGGCTCAGTGCCAAATAACATCCATTGTTTTTATACCAAAATAAAGTCAATTCAATTATGATGGATTAACAGTGGCATTCTGTGAAATATATTGGCAAAAATTACCAGATGATGGCTTCGACTTAAGTAGAGCTGACCACGTTATCAGCAGATTATCAGCTATCGATTTGGATCTATTAGATCCAGGGACGTATTAGCCGCGAGGCAAACAAGGCATTTGCCTTGGGCGGCATTTTTCAGGGGGCGGCAAAAAACGCCGCCCCCCAAATGCCCAGGGCAGATGCCTAGTTAGCCTTGCGGCTAACTGACATCCCGAGCGGGCGGGCGGCCGGCGAGGGAGCACTTCCCATGAGCTGACTGCTCAGCTCCCTCGCGCACCGCAAAGTGAGGCTGGGAGCCGGAAGATGACGTCATCTTCCGGTTCCCAGCCTCACTCTGCAGCCGACGCGCGAGGGAGCTGAGCAGTCAGCTCATGGGAAGTGCTCCCTCGCCGGCCGCCCGCCCGCCTGCCAGCGCCGCCCGCCCTGCAGACACTGGACCACCAGGGAGAGAGACCCCCCCCAGCACTCCCAAAGGTAAGGAGGTTGGGGGGGGATTTAAATAAAAAAAAAGTTAATGTGTGTGTGTGTTTGTGTCTGACTGTGTGTGTGTTTGTGAGTGTGTGTTTGTGTCTGTGTATGTGTCTGACTGTGTGTGTGTGTGTTTGTGTCTGACTGTGTTTGTGTCTGTGTATGTGTCTGACTGTGTGTGTTTGTGTCTGACTGTGTTTGTGTCTGACTGTGTGTGTGTGTGTTTGTGTCTGACTGTGTGTGTGTGTCTGACTGTGTGTGTGTTTGTGTCTGACTGTGTGTGTGTGTGTCTGACTGTGTGTGTGTGTCTGACTGTGTGTGTGTGTGTGTGTGTGTGTGTGTGTCTGACTGTGTGTCTGTGTGTTGTGTATGTGTATGACTGTGTGTGTGTGTGTTTGTGTCTGACTGTGTGTGTGTGTGTGTGTGTGTGTGTATGTGTCTGACTGTGTGTGTGTGTGTTTGTGTGTCTCACTGACTGTGTGTGTGTGTGTGTTTTGTGTCTGACTGTGTGTGTGTGTATTTAGAAGGTGGGGCGGGGAAGGGTTGGGTGGGGGTGGCGCGGGGGGAGGGGGGCGCCTGAGTTTTGTCCTGCCTAGGGCAGCACAAAACCAGGATACACCACTGATTAGATCACCACTGTTTAATGCCTACTGTAAGCTTAATGTCACAGGAGTGCTGCACACAAGTAAGTTTACATGGGAACTCTGTGGAAGGGGGTCTGCAGCCCACCAGAAAAAACAAGAAATATAGCTCCACAGGCATCATAACATAGGGTGAAGGCAAAAAATTATATTTATTGGAGATCAAAAAGGACAAAAAAAGATACAACGTTTCCGCCTAGAGGCCTTAGTCATGCATGCATGCATACACTCTACAGTGTAACGCCCAGGAAACTCTATATCCTCTTATTGTAAGCTGATAAATATTGGTTCATCATAGAATTGAAAATATAGGGTTTGGCGATTGAAAACCATTTATTTGATCGCTAGTGACCATTAAAAGAACTTAATGGGTTTGACAGTTAAAAGCAGTTTATAAATGCTTTCTTTATATATTTGTTCACTGGCAACAATAGCATCCACCAGGTAATACTTACAAAGGAAAGCTACTAACACATTAGTATAAGGGATGTTTTCAACCTTCCTTATGCCTCACTTACCAGGCCACAGGTGGGGGCATTTCCAGTCACTAGTAAAGTACAGGGTTTTTTCGGGGGCAGTGGGTGGAGACTGGACTGGGGGAATACTAGGTCCCCCTAGTTTGCTTTAATTACATCCCATGCAGTTGGGGGGAGGTCAGGGAGGACACTAAGTCCCCCTGTATATTATTTAACAGCACTCATCGTAGGGGCTGTACAGTGATCATCATTTAATTTGAAGCCCCCACCTGATGCCTGTGGGCAGGGATTTATATATTATTAACAAAAAAAAAACATGCAAACCGTGCAAAAGAAAAACGAGAATAGGCAAAAGCTCAAGTAGAAAAAAAGAGGAACAATATCCCAGACGTCCATTCCAATGGAGATGGGTGTATGGGAATTAGTACAACCTAAAATAGATTAGAAGCAACAAAAAAAAACAACAAAAAAAAACTTTTTGAATCTAAAAGCGTAGAGCTACTATATCTTATAGAGGGTCCTACATAGGAAACAAATGTCTGCATACCGGTTAATGGGGTATCAGCCCTACAAAACAAATAAGGGGTACATGAAGTGTTCCACTTAATAGGGATACCCTACTACCAAGCAGAACCTAATAAGCAGTGATTGGGGAGCACAGAGAGATAGTCTGTATCTCATTAAAAAAAGAAAAAACTACTGGATATCAGCCAATTGGAGATTAGAAAATGAATATAAGAGAAACAAAAAGACTCCCAAAACGATTATAATAATCACTGCTAGGTTCCCACCATAACCACCATACCCCATAGAGCATATATTCTCATATGTCCCTAATACCTCGGCACCACGCTAGGCTAGTACCTACCTGAACCAAGGACACTATGAAAGTTAACTCAAAAGCAAAGTGAAGTTACATTTTTAATTTTATTATGCAGTCCTTCACTTGTTAGGTAGCACTTCACTTTGCTTTTAAGTTAACTTTTATAGGGTCCTTGGTTCAGAGATTTATAAGCAAGTACCAGAATTTTAGATTGAACTCTATATCTTACAGGAAGACAGTGTAAGGACTAACAGAGGGGGGAGGCGTGGGAGGCGTGGGCGGACCGCAAAATAGAAAAAGAAAAAAAAGAAATTACATAGAAGACCATGGGAGTAAATACAACCTCCACATTAATTACAATGGTTGGCTTTATATCCCACCCAAGTCTCACTCACCAGGCAGCAGGTGCGGTCATGTCTACTAAACAGTGAGTAAGCACTGTCACAAAAGACTAGAAGCCAGGCAGATATTGATATAGATATAGAGATATATAGTGGTGGCCAGTGGCGTACTAAGGAGGGGTGAGGGGGTGGTCTGCCTGTGACTGTCTGTGTGTGTGACTGTATTATGGACTGTCTGCTTGTAACTGTGTACGTGACTGCCTGGCAAAGACTGTGTGTGACTAACTGTAACTGACTGTGTGTGTAACTGTCTGCCTAGAACTGTGTGTGTGACTGTCTGCATGTGACTACCGGTATGTGTGTGTGACTGTCTGCATGTAACTGTGTGATGTTGCCTGTAACCGTGTGTGTCTCTGTCTGTAACTGTGTGATGTTGCCTGTAACTGTGTGTGTAACTGTAACTGTGTGACTGTCTGCCCGTAACTGTGTGCGTGACTGTCTGGTTACAACTGTGTGTGACTGCTTGTAACTGACTATGTGTGAAACTATCTGCCTGTAACTGTGTGTGTGACCACCTGTGACTGTCTGCATGTGACTATGTGTGTGACCGTCTGCATGTGACTGTGTGATGTTGCCTGTGTGTGTGACTGTCTGCATGTGACTGTGTGATGTTGCCTGTGTGTGTGACTGTCTGTCTGTGACTGTCTGCCAGTAACTGTGTGATGTTGCCTGTAACTGTGTGTGTGACTGTAACTATGTGTGTGTGTAACTGTCTGCCTGTGACCGTGTGTGTGTCATAGTATATGTGACTGTCTGCCTGTAACTGTGTGTGTGTGTGACTACCTGTGACTGTATGTGTGACTGTTTGCATGTGACTTTGTGTGTGTGACTGTCTGCCTGTAACTGTGTGTTACTGTGTATGTGGCTATCTGCCTGTAACTGGGTGTGTGGGGTGCAGGGGTTTGTAGCAGAGGGGCAGGACAGGGTTTTTGTAGAAGGAACTGAGAGGGGTTTTACAAAGTTTACAAATTTGTGCAATACATAAAAATAACAAATAAAATAAACATGTAAAAAAAAATTCAATTACCCAGCGAAGGGCCAGCTACTTGAGCTGTTAGTAACAGCTTTTAAGATATTAACCCTGGGATAGGTTAAATAATCTTCCACCAGCCAAAAGAACATAGGCTAGGGTAGATCTTTATTTAGCACCTTGGCTCAGAATAGCAACAGTTTTTGTCTTGATAAATCTTCTTCGTAATAGTACATCTATGCCTCTCATTTCTCACACTGTTGCCAGTCATGCGTTATTTCAATTTTGAAGCTGAAGAGACACCTGAGCTGTGGTGCTTTTAAGGGCTGTTTCATTTGCTTCTGCAAATAGGCCTAGGACGGAAACCTTAACTGGGCAACAGAAAAATAGCTTACCCCAATATCACATGGCAAGGTATAAAATTAGGGGAGGTGTAAGTGAGTCTAATAGGGACCATGATACAAGAGCCCAAAATCGGGACTGTCCCACCAAATCTGAAACAGTTGGGGGAGGTAATAAAAATACTTATTTTTTTTCTCCCACAGTACACATTCATGAGGTGTGAATACATCTACCTTAATTTACATTAATAAAATGTACAAATGTGGATTTATTGTAAGGTTTTGCACAAAAGTCTCATGACAGATTGACGTGTTATTCTCTGCTGTAAAAATGATGATTGCATAAAGAAAGATATATTCATGAGTTCAACAATATGCTTTAGATTTGCTAATATAATGGTGAGCCTTGGCTTACGACTCATGGAACTTCCTGCTGAGACCTAGGCCATGTGTGCTGTCCTCTCATTTCCTTCTGGGAAGGGATGATAAACCTGCTTCATGTCCTGTAGTTCTACAAACATCCCTAGTCGATGAACCCTGCCAGAGAGGTCACAGACCCTCCCGGGAATCGCTGCTAGGGCAATTTACACCATATTTGCATAATTTAATGGTACTCAACAAAGATGGTGATGATGAGACTTGGCCCTTGTCCTACAGCTGTTGCTCAAGCAAGAGATTTCTCTTTACTTGTATTTGTGCCTTTGTTCACTTATGATCTTTTGCCACCTGTACTGACCTTTTTACTTATTTTTACCAAGATTTACAGCCTGTAGTTACTGCTGTTGTTAACTTGGCCTTGTCTTTGTGCTACAGCCTGTCTTATCATTATCCCCAGTCACCCCAAATATCCATCTTCAGTATTCTCCCAGAGGGCTGCCTGACACCCTGATATATAACAAGATGTCCATGTTTCCACAGAGTGTCACTCATTTTTGAAAAGTAGGTAGAGTTCCTGAGTGACATGTATGTAGCGGTAGCACTTCCTTAGACTTGCACTATTTGTGGAATGCCAACCACCACATCAAAATAGACGTGCACCATTCTGGCATCATTTCTGAAACAAAATTGTTCTGAGCCTGTATCATTTTATATGGTTCCTAGCCTGTCCTAGGCAGGCAGGAATGATGCAGTGATTTATTTACTTTAAATACTCCATTCTGACACTAGCACCTTGCTCTGCTGTTGTTTGGTTACGGTGTAACCGTGTAAGCGTGCAGAAGCCGAACACAGAGAGATGGACACCGGTATTCAGGAAGTAAGAGGCCTTTATTCACATTACCGATCGGGTCTCAGATGAACTCCTGTTCCAAAATTCTGAGCACTGAATACATAGAGTACATTCCTTATATAGCACTGTAGCTCCTCCCATAATTAGATATGCCCACACATACCCTTAACCTAATCAATGAACAGAGTCTAAACTCATCTATCCGGTCTAACCACGTGGCTCATCTGAAACAAAGGAGAGGGACGCGTAATTCCAGTTTCTGCATTCCTGCACATGCTCAGTACATTGATGACAGTATCTTAGCTACGTGTAACTAACTAACTGATACTACAAACACATGTACCTATATATGCCTTGTGGCAATCTTGGCCTGCTAAACTTTTATTTTACTGG